GCTCGCAATGCTGGCCACACAAAAAATGAAATTCAAACTTTCCTGGGGCTTTTCCTGTTCACCTGGAAAGCGAATTCTGGACAAAGCGGTCAGAGCAGGGCACTATGGGATGCCTTCCGGAGACCAAGAACCTCAACTTTCTCAACGCTGCGTCTATACTACCCTGAATTTGACCATGTAAGGTTAAATTTTGCGTTACTCTTTGTGAAACGCAGGAGTGCCAAAATCAACTTCAGCGGCCTTTAAAGTTGACAGAATAGGCTTGGCAGCGTAGAGTCACTGTTTAGAAAAATTGACCGTATGCGGCTAACGTTGACGTAAACTCCCAGAGTAGACCAGGCCTTAGTCTTCCCTGTCAATAGCCTCCTGCTTGGCCAAAATATGGTGGGAAAAGTATGGAACAAGGTTTTTTAGGGAGGGTGGGGAAGGACTGTTAAGGACTTTCCCCCATGCAGACCCTAGCTGACCCCCTAGCCAATCCCATTTACTCAGGCACATTTGCCCTGTACACATGTCCCTAAGCCCCTCAGAGATCTCCTCCCCTCATCTCCACATGTCCCTTCACCCCCTGTGCCCATGTGTCTCTGTGTCCCCACTTAGGAACTTCCCTTCTGTCTGTAGCTCTGCATCTCTCTCCTCCTCTGCCCATGCAGCCCTACACTTCCACTCCAGTTCAGCCCCTACCCTTGTCACCTCCACTCCCATTCAGCCTCTATCCCAGTCTGTCCTCCTCCACTAACTTTTATAAGCCTCTTTCTACGCCCCATCCCAGCAGCCCCATGCTGTCTGTCTCCACATGGTCCCTGTCTCCTGGCCAGGTGCTGTGAAGAAGGCTCTAGGGCTCTCTCTTCCCTGATGGCTGGGAGCAGCTACAGTGCTCTAGCATCACAGCGCCCTCTGGTGGGCAAGATGCAGAACTGCAGAAGGTATTTTTCACAGGGAGCTGTAGCTCAGTTCTAGCACCGCCCCACCCTCTGGTGGACAAAAGGCAGAACTGCAACATATTTTTGTATGCAAAAAAAATTAAAAAGATGTGACTCTTTAATTACACATATGCACAGTGGCTCAGAATTTCCCAAGGAGTAAATGAGCTCAAAGAATGTTTGTGTATGAGAATAAACCTTCAGGCATGCTACATGTATTAAACAATATTGTCCAAGGTCAAGATTTTCAAACTTGTGTCCTAAAGTTAGGTTCCTAAATCCATATTTAGCCATCCTAATGTAAATTACCTGATTTCAGAAGTGCTGAGCACTCACCAAGATCCACTGAAGCCAATACCAACATTTTGGTAGCTTGAAGACTTAATGTCGCCAATTCTCAGAATTATATTGCCAGTCTCTTGATATGTGTTTTTCTTCTAGTACCAGCTCATGAAATCATGGAATTATATGAGATTCCAATATTTTTTAAAGGATTTAACTCTCATGGTTACAGGAAAAAAGTTTGAAAATATGAACCCAAATGTTTCAAAAACCAAAAAGCAAATAAATAGAATCCCCAAATGTGTTTTTAAGAATACCATGATTTTAAGACAATCTCAAGATTTTTTTGTAGCCTGAATGTTCAAGTTTGGCAACACTGAAGATGTCATTAGCATATAAAGCTACCCACCCACTCCTGCCTCATCTTTCATAAATTATCTCTTTCACATACAACCCAATTTTCAAGTATAGTTGCTCAAAATAGGGTGCTCAATTCTACATCCAGGGGCTCCAACTAGTCACCCAGTCACATGCTTTAAACATGCAGAGTAGATACCATGTTCAGCACTGTCATATGAAACTCTGTGACCACTTTTGACATCTGGTATTTCAGTTTAAGATTTTCAAAATTCGCTAATGATTTTGGGTGCCCAACTTCAGACACCTTAAAAAGAGCTTGATTTTTAGACATAGGAGAACATTCACCTTTTGGAAATCAGATCTCTTTAAGGCATCTCATGTTGGAACACCTAGAATCTGAGGCATCAACAATTTTTAGTCATTTTTGAAAATTGTATTTTTTTTATTTTATTCCCAGTGGGGAGCTTCATCTACTAACGTATCAATTATATAATTTGTCTATCACAAATATGTTATCAATTTAGAAGAATTTTCATCTAATATATCTTCTTAGTTTCAGTATTTCATTGCAACATGTTGGTCAGCCACCTACCTAAATAGTTGAAAGAGTGATCAAATAACATCAATGAAATACTTGCCAAGAATAGAAAGGATTCAGCTCACATTTTCTAAATAGTGGGGCTTCAGTAAGTTCTGCTATAAATTCTTCTGAGGCCATGACTGTGAATAGTGTTGAGAAGTCTTGACTTCATTACAGACAAAAGAACATATTCAACAGGCTTGGATGACTAAATCCGAAGAGCCTTACTTTCTTTTAAAAGCAGAAAAGCACTTAGCTAGGAATGCTGGACATTCATTTTGTTCATTTTTTGTTCTTTCTTCCTGAAGAGATAGTACTATAGGAAAACATGACATTCTTTGGAGTTTTTAAAAACAGCGTTCTTTAATTTAAAACGCTAAAATAATAATAATGAATAATCCAGTATCTGTTCAGGGTTAAAATTAGGGAAAACCTGGGCACTCCTGTGGCTTTAGAGGTCTATAAACTTATTCACAGAAGTATACCCCCATATTATCGAGGTAACAGTACAAGCCCAAATATCAAAGAATAATTCTCAGGTTCTCTGTCAAAAAATTGATTTTTGAAATGTAACTATGTTAACTACAGCCAATTAAAAAAAGCCCAGAATACAAATCATTAGTTTCCCTTCCTCACTATATGACGTACATGTTTCTAAAACAACTTCAGTTCCTTCTCAGTAGATCCATAAAGTAAAGGGCTGTGAATCACGGAACACACACTTTCTAATAAATGAAAGCTATGTTTGCCAAAGAGTGGCATGTAATCTAATAAGCATCTGATCTCAGCATCAAAATCATTGCAATAGCTATAATGAGAACTATGTTCTTAAGAAGTGTAGGTTAAGACAGATCACCAGACATTAACACCCCTGTACAGGCAGGGAGGGACACTTTTCTCCCTGGCTGGTCATTGTGTATTCTGTATCTCATAGTTCAAGTCCATTGCATTACTGAGCCTAAATGAAGAGACTGTGAATTCATAGAAGAAAAGATCTCCAGGAATAAACAAAAACATCAGGGCAGGGGTTTTCATTTTGCCAGTAAAGAGAATGGATTTGGGGGGTATAAAACTAGGTGTACCGAGATACCCTGGTAATCCCTTCACCAAGGAGACAAACTATCAGTACGTTCTGTATTATGAAAGGGGGAGCACAAACATCCTGTCTGGAAAACATCGCAAAGAGGTTGGGTGAGCTAAATTTCATTGGATAAGACCAGACTCTAGATGACAAGTTATGATTTTATTTTACATGTAATCATTTGTTTCCGCTACTGTGACTCGCTATTTCTACTTTTGAAATCTCTATACTTCATTGAATAATCTTTTACTTGTTTTCAGGTACATTCGTGTTTCGGTGTGTTAAACAGATCAGTGATCTGAAGGGAAGTTGGTACGATGATGTCCACTGCTTCTTTGGGAGCAGCAGATTTGTGAATTAGAGTGGACCAGGGGCTTGTCACTTCAGAGGGACGCTTATAGGGTTCAAAGTCTATTGCTAACATGTGGTAGAGAGTGCGCAAGGGTTTGTTGCCCATAGCCAGAGGGGTTAGAGAGCCAACTCCCAGAAAAAAACAGAAAAGGCTTCCTCACACTAAAGGCAGGTGATACCGAAGCGCCTCTCTATCCCAGATATACTAGGAAGTGTTACACGTATACAAACATCTTGGTCATCAGCTAAACCATACGCACATTTCATGAAGAACTCAGGCTATAAGACTTTAGCTTATATGTTTGAAAAGCAGGATATCATCAAAATAGAGGCTAGTATATTACAAGGTGCAGAGATCTACCATGTATTCAGGTGCATGTGTATAGACCACATGACAATATGTGCAAATAAAGCCAGACAAAAAAGCAGGTGGTAAATATCCTTTTATGTCTACACTGCAGAGCTGTTCCGGGATACCAGAGGTATCCTGGAAAAGCTTTGCTGCATCCAAGGAACGCATCTGCTTTTTTTTTTTTTTTTTTTTTTAAAGCAGACACTTCTTTTGGCATCCCTGTAAACCTCATTCTATGAAGAAGAGGAGATGTTCTGAAAGAGGGTTTTTTTCCCCAACATCTAGCCCCATGTAGACAGGCCAAATATTGGAAAAGCCTCTTTTGGAAGAAAAGCGGAAAAAGATATGCACATCGTGGTTCGCAATTTGAGTATCTTTTTCCGACTTTTCCCCGCAGTGTAGACATAGCCTAGATTCTGGATTTTGGTACACTTCACACAAACAATGGATCAAGCACATTCTCTTGGGAGCGACCCTGAATTTCAGAATCTAGATAACATTTTGATATATATAGGCTCTTATTATCAGATAGAAAATAGAATCAATAGACATTACGGTGCTGGACAGAGACATATATAAAAAAAATACCTAGATAGAGAGGCAACAGGAGAACTTATGGCATTGGTGTAAAGGAGAGCAGGTAAATGCTGAAAAAGTTTCCATTGACCACTGAATGAACAGAGGTGAAAAAACAATGGCAAGACATATTTAGGAAAAAACCAAAGCATTAAAGCCTCTACTGTGGCACATCAGTGTGATTTCATTAAAGCCAATGGAACTACACTGATTTATGTGAGCAGAGAATCAGAGGCTACATAAATCAATTTCATTTGACCTGGTCTTGCAGGGTTTCCATAAGCAAAGCTCTCACTGATGGAAATGGAAGTTTTGACTGGACAAGGATTGCAGGGCTGAGTTTCACTTTCATCAAGAGACCGTTTAAACTCTTTGCTGTTCCCAGACAATGTTATATACTTTATTCCTGGTTCGACTATATACAGGGTAACTTTCCAGTCTCCTCTTCTGGGATTCCAGTTTCTAAGCTATTATTTCCCTTCTCCTTTCACTTACCTTCTTCAACTCTTCCTGAATGCTTTTGCCATTTTCTTCTGAGGACAAACTTTCCTTTTGGTGCTCCGATTCTGTTCTAGGCTCTGACTCCTGCTCTTCACCAGAAGACGTTTCTTTGTCACTCATTTTAGCAGCTAGTTCAAATAACTTGGATTTAAGTTTTTCTTCGATAAGGTCTGTCTTGATTTTATGGTGTCGATCCTCACTGCTGACATCAGCTTCCGATACAGCCTCAGGAAACTATGATGAAAATCAAAAAAGGTTTTTACAAGGTTTCTACAAAGGTTACAAATATACTTTATTCAGCAAGAAACCTAGAAAAATATTACATTAAAAATCTCTGTGTAGAATGTGCCCAGCATATTTACTTTCAGAAGACGATGATATTTCTCGTTTGTTCTCTTTTCCACATTACATGAAAAACAGAAGCAAGTCCATAAATAATTATTTTATTATTTGCACAGAGGGAGCTCTCTCATATATAGCTCTTTTCACCAAAATACTGGATAAAGAAAGCCATACAGGATCATCCTCAGTCATTTTACAGATGAGGAAAGTAAGACATAGAGGTAAAATGGCTTGCACAAGGTCACAGGGCAGTTCAGTGGCTTACTCTCAGTACTGAATCCCAGCCTGATAAACTACACATGCATCTACTCTATTTCTTTAAGAATTATTGGAAACAAATTTAACCTTTAGATCAGGGGTGGGAAACCTTTTGTGGGTCATGGGCACTGCTGACCCTACAGAAAAATCATTTGGGGGCCACACACACAAATGAGGAAAAACTCACAAAAAACAACCCACAAATCCTCACTGGCTCAGCACCTGAGAAACAGAGAGAGACTCCCCACATTTGCTGCACACACCAGAGCTTAGCGGGGCCCAGGATAGTAGATTTTGTGTGCTCCAGCCTCACAGGGAGTTGGGGAGGGGCGGGGCTGCAGTGTCAGCATGGGAAGGAAGGAATGCTGGAGTGAGCCCTGAGCCTCCGGGGTCGGATCCAGGCAAGACGGGGGCCACATGCAGCCCCGGGACCTAAGGTTTCCTACCCTTTCTTTAGATGCAATCTTTTCTTAGAGTTTGATCCTGAAAGTGCAGAGCACCCGTAGTTCCAGTTAACAACAATGGCAATCTTGGTGATAAAATAAGTACTTCTGCTAGGATGAGTGCCCCACATGTTACACTTCTAAGCAATGAAAATTATCATTTAAAATGGAATTTTTCATATTTTGTAGTAGGGATGAGAAGACACAAGAGATCACAATTCCCCAGTATTATGGCTACATCTACACTTCAACAGGCGGTATATAATTCCCAACAGAAGGAGACCTGCTTGTGCTAGCTCACATCCAAATGCTGCCCTAAAAATGTAGCCACTCGATCATGAGTGGTGAACAGTCCATATGCCCCAATTACCTACCCACCTAACATACTCTAGTTGCTGGCCCTTCCTGTGATTTGTGATGTCATGGCTACATTCTGTATTTAGTGCACTAGTTTAATCAGAGCTAGCCCAAGTATATCATCTTGAGCTGGGAATCGCACCTAACTCTAAGGGTAGACATAGTCTAAGTGTCAGGAATTATTTGAAACAGAACACAGTAGTGATCAGTGTCCCCTCTAAGCTGCATGGCAGCACAGCTTCACAGGTGATTAATCAGCCCCTCCCAGTCAGAGGCTGATTAATCACCTGTGAAGCTGTGCTGCTCAGCAGTTTAGAGGGAACACAGATTGTGATCTAATGCAGTGCTTCCTAATTTGTTTTGACCACGGAACCCTTTCAAAACTCAGAAAAATTTCAAGGAACCCCCTAGCCAGGGATTAAGTTTGTCGAGCAAAAAAAAAAAAAAAAAAAAGACACACCCAAACACACACAGACTGCCACTACACCACAATTGGTAGTAATAAGATGCTAAATACGGTCATGAGATCACCATTCATTTAAATTCAACATATTGAATATAACACCATTCATTTATATTCAACAAAAATCATAAGACACCCCCAAACACACACAGACTGCCACTACACCACAATTGGTAGTAATAAGATGCTAAATACGGTCATGAGATCACCATTCATTTAAATTCAACATATTGAATATAACACCATTCATTTATATTCAACAAAAATCATATTAAATATGTACAAAAAATAAAACTATCAAATAATATTAATTATATTCATAGTTTTCTATGTGAAGAGTGGTTTTTCTTCTTTTCTTGGCAAATTCTTTTTATATTTGGTTTAATACTAGAAAGTAGGATTCGCATATCTGGCGCAGCATTCAGTCGATTTCTGCATTTCGTTTTCATTGCTGCATAGTTCGAGAACCCAGTTTCGCACAAGTATGTACTGGCAAAGGGTAACAGCTGACGAATTGCGCGACTTGATAAAGATGAATATTCTTGACTTTGACATAAGTCACTCCAAAATGTAATCAGAGAAATCATTCAGAGTTGGTAAACAATCCAAATCATTTCGTCCTACAGATGAGATCCAAAACTGTAGCTTCCATGACAATGACAAAATTTTGTCTTTCGCATTAAAAATATTTACATTCTTTCCTTGCAGCGACAGATTTACTTCATTTAGTTTTGTAAAGATGTCTGCAAGATAC